TATCCACAATTTGTCTATTTCATTCGTAATATTATCTAGAACACTATTTTAGATTCCTAAGATTTTTTACTAGAAATTCGCATGTAAAACCGAACTTTGTTTACCATTGATAATGAATAACAGCACATACTAATACAGTAATCTATACTAATATATAAAGCTTTTGTGTTGGTTAGGTGATTTATCGAGGAAGGCTATAAAACATCGCGATCTGACCAATATAAGCGAAGACACAGCGGAAAACGTGAACAAAACGGGGGAAATTTTCTATCTCTGTGGGTTTCAGTTGAGTACGCTGTGAAAACGATTATACGGATATCTAAAAAATGTGTATGAAAGAATGTTTCTTCTTCAAATCATCTAAAATAAAGTAATAAAAACGACGGGCAGGGACGCGATCGACGTCGTGGATAACGGCTTAAGTTATGATGAGTTTTCTTCTTATTTTACCAAGTTATAAGTACCACTGCCTGTCAATTAGATATAAGTGCCAGATATTTACCATTACCTGAATTAGCGAGTTTAATTTGTCCTTAACCAAATTACCACGTCATGAATCACTGGTTAGCGCATATCCACCTTGACAAGTTTTCCCAGAGCGATGACGCCACGGAAGTTCCCATCCGCGAGATGGCAGCACGTGACGCCCACGGGCGGGTCACGTGGCCGCGCGCCCTTTGCGCGTTTACTGTTTTTATTGGAAACGCTCAAAAATAATGGACACAATACCCCTGTTGAACTCTCGACCAAATTACACCCGGAAGGCTGGGGTTAAACGCAATTGAGCCCTCATTACTGACGCATCGAGCCAGCAATATGCGAAGTTCGACAGCGCATTAAAAAAAAACAATTATAATCATAAAACTACAGCAATTATAATTACAATCAAAGACGTACGTATTAAATTAATAAACCACTCAGTTTAGTGCTGAAACACTTTGCGATACCCAACAGCGGTGATTTTCAGTGACCTTCGCGGCTCTGAGCGTTTAAACTTAAAAGAATAAATATGAATAAGCTTTTAACAGTAAAAAATACTTTGACCCAAAAAATATATATAGGAAGATGATTCAAAAAAATGTCCGCGATACTATATGTCTCTCTTTATTATCTTGCAAGAACGTCGGGACGGAACCGATGTCTTGAGCAGCTTAAATTTATAAAGATGTAGAGGTTTGCAAAACTATTCTACGCGAACGAAGTCGGTGACACAGCTAGTAAGAAATAAAACACCAATCTTTCTCCTGTTATTTATTAAAGCAAACATTTAAAATCCAGAATCATAAATAATAGTGAGTATTCCAACAAAACCAGCATTCGCGTGCCAAAATAAATATATTACAAACGATACTTATAGACTAAGAGCTAACGACAATTTTGTGAATAAATAGAAGAAGAGAGAAAAATGGCACGACGCAACAGACGATACTGAATACAAATATCGGGCGGACAATATTCACGAATAAGGCACCATTTATTACCTATATGAAAGCTTAAGACATTTTTCTTTTTCTATGAAACACGAATTTTCACGAAAAGGTACGATGCACATTTGAGCTCTCATTCTAATTGTGTAGTATAGAGCGAGATAGAAGCATAAACAGCTTGTACTTTGTGCAACATAGAATAAGTACTTAATTTGAGCATTATAAACTTTGACAATTCGTGTTCATTTAATCCTAGATTGTATGTTAATCTCTATTCTTACTTAGTATATTAATGTGTACCCTAGAATGATTTGGTATGGTCCTTAAAAATAAATTAGTCAAATCAGTCTAAATCTAGATTGCAGTCGGTGGTTAGTAGTATGTTTTAAACCCAATCTACAATTGACCATCTCGAAATTTAGTTACATCGAAATCTAGTAGGATTAGTAGTATGATTCTTACAGTTAGTGTGTTTTTCTTATTTATAATGAATACAGTTTTCTACAAGATTTAACAATCTAGGAACGAGTATATTGCTTTTATTAGAACGTCTAAATACTAGAGAGCTTAGGCCACTGTGGAACCTATGTCAATATGAAGCCGCTTCAACATTGCACCGGATTATAAAAACAGTAAGATCTACTTGATTATAGAAATTATATATAATACGTTAACATTTAACTACATTTTCCATTCAAATAATATGTATTTACGGTTTGAAACGCGAAATATATTAGACATCTTATGTTATATCGAGACATTAGGCATGCTTTGCAGTAAACTTTTATTACACGTTTTAATCTGTTAAAACTGTTGCATCCGGTAAACTACGTAAGACACAACTTTGTTTCCTAATTTTCTATATCGCTTGTAAAATTATACATATTTACCACAAAAACCTAATAGATATATACAATTCCACGCTTCGTAACATAAAGATAATAAAATTAATTATTAATAAATTGTTGTTAAAATAATCTCAAGATAATAATTGTGTTAGGCGAAGGCATACGTGTGGACGTACCACACGCATGCCTAAATTGGTTTAATACCGTCATATTGGTACAAAACTATCACACTACAAACAAGACAGATTAATTATACAGTTGTAACGACGATGACGTAAAGACGGTAGACAATCAATTAATTATCGCTTTGGAAGCGCGAGCGCAAGTGACGTTAAACTTGGATGACTTGAATTTTGCCATCAATACGAAAAGTTGGGACCATAAGGGTTTCGTTTCTGAAAATATAAACTCTAAACAGTAGTCTAATAGTAGTAAGTCTCTTTATTTTAGCAAAGGTGGTTCCGTACCAGAAAGTTAAAAACAAAACTTTTGGCTGTATCAACAGGTCAACGGGTTTATTTAAGTACTGAGGCGATTCGTGACTCAGACGGTTCCAGACGAAGTTCAGCATGTTTTAGAAAAATTCCAAAATAATAAAAATGGTAGAGATCGCACCTACGATCTGTTTTACTAATGACTAATGACCCCGACACAGAGTCGCACTTGGCCAATTTTATATCATACACAATTGGAACCAAGTGACCTAACTTGTATTACTTTATTGAATATGGAATTTTGAAATTGCGACGTTTTCACGTATTTTGCGTTTCAATATATTTTCACTTCAATGGTACATAAAATCTAAAATGCTTATTGAAACAAAGGTTAGAAGGTTCTCAATGAAAACCGAGCGTGACCTTAGAGAGACACAGCCAGAGGTCATATCGACATTGCAAACACAAAGCGAGGTGTCAAAGGCGATTGCTTGAAAATTGCAAATATCAACAGAGCCGCAAGTCGACGATATACAAACTTTAGTTTCAGAGTCACTCGCGTAGATAAGAAGAACTATTTAATCATGGCTTAAAAAATATATGCACATACTTTCACAATATAAACAATTGAAAAAATGTTTTAAATCCAATATTGACTTTCAAAATTTAACTGAAAATATAAACAGTTTTCAGTTAAATTTTAAAATTCAATTGACCAGATTCCATTAATGTATTTTTTTATTATAAGCCTTATTAATTTTGTGTCTTTTCAACCAAGTCAATTCTAAACTTAGTATAATTTTGTTTAGTTTATTTTTATGATTAGTAATATTTTTTTTTATTTGTGAGAATAGTAAAAAAAAATGCATACACGGGGGGGCCCGCTATTAATTTCGTTCTTTCTCGGTTAGTTCAAGAGTTCAAGAATGAAAAACAAGCTCCTACACTAATCGCATAATGTCTTAACAAATAGCATTGTAGGTTGACAAATTATCTGAACGAGGTGTTAAAATTTACGCAATAACTTCGTATATTACAGACGCGCAAATAGCGTATACCAAGAATAGAATATATAACCATAATAATGTTTTTTTTATACAAAAATTATTATGCTTTGGATAGACCATTTAGCAATGAAGGCTTCAGTTTAAATTACATCACGCTGTCACCAAAATGAGCAAAAGGTATAGTGCAAAATGTAAAAAAAAAGGAGATAGGGGAAATCTTTCAGGGCTTGCGTTGCTGCGATAACGGTTCAAAAAACCAACAAAAATGTTTGAGGGAATGATTCCTCCGCTAGGAGGTGGTTTGCAAAGATGAATAAGATGGCTAAAAAACTACTTCACGAGGACGAAGTTGTGGGTGTCAAAACTTGCAGCTTACTGTGACTGTCAATTGCTTCGCACTTCCAAAGGTACAATTTTTTTTTTAAATATAATGAGCATTATATCAAATAACAAACCGTCATCGTCTTAGTCTTCATCGTTTATGTATATTTCTTGTGATTCTGTTAAACTGCCTTAATATTAAGAATTCCTCGCAAACACAACGCCACACAAATTGAGTTATTAATTATTTTGTTTTGCTTTCTTTTTACAATATTGCGTTTAGGAATATATGTACGATTTTTTAAGTTTAGGACACAAAATTGTCAGATTTTAAATAAACAAACAATTGTAAAATAAACGTATGCACACACTAGTTAATAATGAGTGATTTGTTTTTAATTGATCTAAATATAAATCAGCATTTTGTAGATTAAGTATTTTGCTCGTTTATTAAATTGAATAATTTTTAACGGTTTAAAACGCGAAATATATTAGTTTATTTATTTTAAGGGGCCGTACTTTAAAAAAGCTTAAAAATCTTTAAACGAATAATAGATTTCCTGTTTTAAACCGTTAATATGTTCCATATCAATGTGTACTACTCGTTTCCTGATGAATATTGTTTAATATTTAACATTCTTTGATAAAACAATATAATTTCGTTTGGCAACTCGTCACAGAAGACCATCTAGAACTACTGCCTAGAACCCCGGCCGCAGACACGTCAACATCCGATACAAAACCTAACTCTACATATTTATATTCAGGGACGCAGTTCTCTGCTTAGTGACATAATCGCAACTACATCTTATATCATACATTCATTTTTTTTTTACCTAGGCGCAATATATCACTTAGATGAGAATAGCGATCCGATTATTTCTTGTCTACAAACAGTCTATAGTACGTCGACAGTAGGAAGTCGGCGGCAATATCAACGGCAAGATGCCCGAATCCCGTTCGCTACAAGTCCGTAACTGGGCCGCACATAAAAGTAGAGTTAGCGCTAGTGCGGCGCGGGCGCATCTCATCGTGCTCGCTAGATAGCGAATCGGGTCCGTTCAACTGCATGCCGTTGGACTTAGACCGCAACTGTGTTACGAGGCGCTCTAGTCTGGAAGTGAGGTTAGCCTTGAAATACAGTAAAGAGGTCTCAGTTAGGTGCGGAGCAAACGAAAAATAAAAAGCAGTTAGTTTTCAAAGCGGTGCTCGTAGGAAATAAGAGAACAGCAGACACATGGATAGACATCAAATAGAATATATTTTTGTTATTTATAAGACATTTAATTTCGAAATGCTATATCTGTTTTCTTTTAAGAAATCATATAAAATAAGTTATAAAAGATGTGTGATATTTGACTTATAGCCCCGATTAATAAACGGTTATAGTCAATTAATATGTTATACGAACTGTCAAAATAATACAATACACAAATTTTAATAGAAAATAAAAACATACAGCGCAAAAAAATCAATTAATTTTTCAACAAAATACGTAAATAGAGCTGGCAACAAAATATAGCATTATTAAATGAAGCAATAGTATTAGTATTAATAATTTTATTATGTAACTTATCATTAAATTTTGTATAGAAAAGAACAAGAAGATTAGATTGCGTGTATAGAAATACTTACTTATGAGCGTAGTCCTCAGCAGTTTGCTTCGCTTTGCGCATGTCGGTCAATTCCCTGCGCATGCGCAACCGATCGCAGTCAGCTTCCTCTGCGTTGCCGTTCACCATCCTATTGTCAGGCTCTACACTATAAAAATAATAAGTTTAATTACTAACTTAATTACTAGTACTACTATTTAGGCGTTCATGAGCAGTGAAACTTCAGATTTAAATTTTTATTTACGCAAGAAATAAATAATATTATATGCAGTAGGCACGAATTCACTAACATAGTTTGTTGCAAATTCTAACTGCATTTTAATAAGTAAATAAATAGATAACAGACACTTAACTGTAAGGTGAAATAACCCAGCCTTATACAAAAGATGTGCTACTGCCCTATTTTTGATACCGAAACGCGATTAAGCTTCACGGCTTTTTCATCTGTAGACAGTGGTCAGTCATGCGAACGATATTTAGATATTCCTACCACCCATTTAGTATCAAGATTTCCAGACATAGCCCATGTTTCAGAAATGTTATAAATATAAAAATTAGAAATATGTTGGACCCGATGGGAATACATAGATCAACGAGTCGAATGCTTAAATATAAGTGGGATTCTGTTAGGTGTTGCATTGCGTGCGTTGATTAATAGTTACCAATTGGAGACCCTCAACAGTCTCAATTCGTCTTCCAATTTGTTGATACGATCCATCATGCAGCGCTTGTCCGCTTCCGAGGCGCGTAGGGACGCCTGTAACAAACACTTCGACGGGTAAAATCTTGATTGAAGCCGGGACAATGCCAGCGACTTCGTCCGCGTAGAATATTCATTTTGGCCATCAAAATTTGTTTTTACAAATTCTCATCTATATAAATTATAGCTTTTCTATCACATTTCCTACTGCATCATCGCCCCTATTAGTCACAGCGCGATGCTTTAAAGCCTATGGCCTACCTCGATAAATACTCTAACCAACACAAAATATTTTTAGAGTTATAAAAAAAGTTTGAAACATTTTTTTGAATATAGAGGAGGGCAGACAAGCCAGGGGTTTACTTTATAGGAGATGAAAGCCCTCGACCAACAAACAAAAAATTAGATGTATATCTAAACAAGATGCCGACCTATTTTGACTTTGGATATTCGAAATTCCTATACTTATTATTTCGAGTCAAGTGAGCAATATCTCGAAGTTATCTGCAGTAACAAGTGCAGTGTCGTTATTTCCAGTAATGTATTCGCGGACACGGAGCGCTGACCGCCGCTGAACCACCTAATATTTCACTAATGCTGCAATTTTACATTACCGACCCTGCTGATTTAGACAACGAGGTACCCTCCTATATAATAGCCGATATTCCAGTTTAACATGTGTCCGTAATAGATAACACCTTTCAATATAAAAAGTGATGAACCCCACTTCCCCCGTGGGGCATGGGCTGAAGACACTTCTGTGTCTGTTTCACTGGTCCGTTTTTTTACAAAGTAGTAGTTGATTAGACTTCTGTGCCCTGCCCGACCGTAAAAATCTATTGTTTCTCAAAATTCGTACCTCTCGCGCTTAACGCAATGTTGGCAACACGTCTAACCATTTAGTTCCTGAAGCGGTAATAAAAATTGCGCATATTATTAAAATACATCGAGTAAATTGATTTTAGCATGTAAGTTGATTTTTACAAACGTATCTTGAGTCGAATGCACGGCCTGCTGATTTTTAAGACAAACATCGCTTCCATAGGACCGACTAGTACTTCAAAACACTAATCACACATCTATACAATACCTAGTCACGTATAAGGCAAAATTTCTCTTTGAAAGCTCGAGTGTATGGTTACTATTAATTACTTTAGACGCCTGTCAACGTTACGAGCGTTACGTGAAAGTTGAGCAAACTAATTACTTGTTGTAACGTATTTATTCACATAAACGCTATTTACTTTACATCGGATACATGTAACATTAGATTTACTTAATTGATGTATCTCTGTCGTTTTGTAGTTAATAATCATACAATATTATAGACCTAAACGCTCTTATTACGAAACAACGACTGGTTTAAACCCTGGTTTATTTGAAATCCTTATTACAAAACGTGTGGAACAGACGGGGAAAATTATTCTTCATTAAGAATTTTTGTTGTGTGCGCTGCGATAGCGGTTCAAGATATTTGGGTATCTTAAACCGAAAGAATGATCCCTCTTTAAATAATATAAAAATGTCCTATAGAGGTACCTATAAGCTATAAGTCTGAGGAGATTTGCAAAAACAAATTTTGACGCCCTAATAACTATTATACGAGGACAGAGCCGCTGGCACAGCTAGTGACTTCATATGCTTAAATAATTTAAATATGTGAAGAAGGCGTAGAGAAAAAATGTAAGTAGGTATGATATGATATTAAAAAAAAATTTGAACAAAAATCTAGGACCTCAAGCCGACACGGGGGAAACAAGCTAACAACCAATAGTTTGCTTTCGTATAAATAAAAAACGTGAATTAACAAAAGACTACATTTATAAAGGATCTAATTTTTTTCAATTCGCACCAGTAGGTAGGTCCTGAGATTACGCGTACAAACTCTTCAGCTTTATAATATTAGTATAGAGGTACGTATCTACTTTCCTACTACTATTAATCCAAGAACACTTACTTACAAGCATATAAAGTAAGTAAATGTGAAGTTACGCCTAAAATAGCTTAGTTAAGCCTTATGCGCTTTAATCCTCGATATTTCTCGTATATTTTCAAATGGACTTAGCACCGATTTACCGTCGAGCATTCACTTAGCGCACCGCGCATTAAGCCGGGTGCTAAGCGTTACCTACGCGTTTTTGCACGTCAATTAACCTATTACGTCCGTTGCGCATGCGCATGCTAACGATATACGTAAACCACGCTACGCCTACTCGTGGCGCGGCTGAGAATTTCTGTACCGGCCTTATGAAGCTTATGTGATGATGGAGTTAAATGTAAGGACGAACTTCTGTACAATTTTTTTTTATAATGATATTTTATAGCATAGCTAGCATACATCATAATCAGTATCAATATTGTGCATATTCTCGTGTTTATATTGAAAACAAATATTTCTACGTTACCCTAAAAAAAATTCTACTTTCTTAACTTTCCTGTAAATTATCTCAATCTCAGAACTATGTTAAATGAAATAAAACAGTGTCAAAAGAGCTCATTGGGTTTTATTAACTCCCTCTTAACTTTAATATTACGCTTATTTTACTTTACTTTAAATTTACTTTTCGAACGGTGACACACTACATTAAGAAAAAAATATGCCATCAAGAAATTTCTCGACTACTAATGGTGTATTTCTAAGCGTTTCTATCTTTATTTAATATACTTTTTTGGAATGCTATTTGGGTTTTTAAAAAAAGGTGGTCGCAATTGTATAAATGGTTCTCGACATTTCGCGATCACAATTGGGTGACATCTTTAGGAGTTGTTAAAGCTTTCTCGAGTAAGCTCGAAAATTCATGATTCTAATACTCGGCAACAAATGCGAACAAAATAAATTTTATTTGTAAGGAACATTTTGAAATATTGATCATTAATAAAATGAATCAAACGGCATAATACATATCTAAATTTGGTGAAACAGAACATCGCGTAACATCGAAGTTGAAAATAGCGCTTCGCGAGCGGCAAATCATCGGCGGGTAGTCGGCGTGACGTCACGCGGGGTGGCGCCTCCTGCGCTGCATCCACTCACATCTGCCAATATTTACACAACGCCCCTCCCAGTACGCACCCGTTCATATTTCAAATGCCCCGCGCGATGTGGGGAGAAGTACAAAACACCGACGGTCGGCTGTCGTTACACCGTTGCGTAACAATCTCTATAGAACATTATTTTGATTATCACTGCACTGTATTTAGTAGAAAATGTTTATATTAATTATACGTCTATAACTTTTATCATGTTTCATTTAATACTTTATTTAGATTGGAAAAATTGAGACACGGCCGACACTTGACACGGTGTCCACAGAATTCGCTGCAGCTGTTTTAAACAATTGAGCTGCTTGATGTAATGTAAGCTTAATGGAAAACAAACGACCGCAGACTCATTTCCTTAAGAAATAAAATTTACGTATATCCAAATATACATTTAGCGCAAATGCAAAACCAATATTGTGGCTTGAAATATTTTACACAAGTATTCACAATGTAACCTTTGAGAAAAACAGCAGCACTGACATAACGATGTTAATCGATAACTGTGTAACAGGCGGCCGCCGAAAAGCAGCCGAACGTACGAATGCCCTCGCTTTTGGGTGAATCGATGCGTTCCGCTCTTTAGCGACTCACGCTGATTTTATAATCCCTAGTTCGCGAGCTGGTACCGAACCCCGGCTCTGTTTATTTACTTAACAAACGCTGCAACATGCGAATACCTACGGACTGCGCATTGTTAGGAAGGTTGCCTATGAATAGGAATATCGTATTGTCATGCTAAGTACACGTTTTTGGATGTAGATATATTCGAACTAGGTATTATGTAGGCTGATAAAATAAATGAAATAATACTTATTTCAGCTATTAATTATAACTAAGTATTTCTTGTAGATGTTGCTTTTGCCCGTTATTACAATTACGTTAAGATTGCAACTTGTAACGAAGTCTTTTTTATTAATTATTTTAAAGTTTTTTAATATATATTTTTTACTATACGCGCATTTATGTTTCCAATTTCTTTTAACCTAAGATTTATCGAAATTTAAAGCAATTAAAAAAAATTGGGCGTATAATCTGTTAAATTTTGTCCCGCTGTGTAACGTGAAGTGTGAGAAAAAAAATAATTTAAATTGGATTTCGTAGGATATTGCAAAGTCACGGGTTGTAGGCGTTTCGCGAACAAACAAACAAGGCAAGGTGACGTGAAGACGAGTAGAGAGCACTTCTCGGACCACCCAGGGCTACGCAAATACCATTTTAATAGTGGTTACAAAAAAAAGAATAAGTCCTCAGACAAAAATAATAACTCAACGCGATTTTTTGAGTGGACGCTATTCGTGACTATTTTGTGTTATTTCTTATTATCATTTCGCTTGTCTCTTTTTATTAACATATTAACAATTTTGTTGGGTATTTGCACAAAGTACCCAACTTAATTTTCTAAAGAAAGTTTCATTTCATTTCAACGAGATATCTATTAGAATGCAACTGCAATAAAAAAACACATTTTTATATTGTATCTACACGAAATTATTAATAGCGCCATCTGTTGAAGAATTATGTAACTACGGAAGTAAGCCGTTTTCACACGTACGATTCTACCATAGTTTAACCACTATTTTGTAGATGGCGCTGTTACAAATTTGACCTCACCTTTATTTCTTCGAAATTTCTTTCAGCAATTTTAGTTTCTGAAGACGTTGACGCTGATCCACTCTGTAAAGAAATAAGTTATATTTTATATGGAACTTGCACAGTCATGATTGTAAGCACTACATTATTTAGAGCAACTAAAAACATATCTCAACAGTTATCTTATCGAAATCTCTACGCGCAATGTTTGCTGATAAAGTATGAAAAACAGCATATTAGCGTCCTTCAATTCTTTAAAACAATCTTGTTTACCTTTATTACAACATAACGAAATATCTTAAGCGAGTTCTTAAAAAAAGGTGTTTTAAACGCGAAATATTTAATTTTGGATGCTTTTTAGTATCCGTGCAACACTTGCGTGACCGCGGCAAAAGTTGAAAAAAATGTTTTATTAAACATGTGACAAAATATATCAATACTTTACAAGGTATTACAGTCTCACTAGAAAACACTTGTAACTTGAATAATAATAATTAAAATTCAAAGGAAAAACGATACAACTTAACATGTGTAGGTGATATCTTATTATGTCGAATGATATAATGCTGTTAAAATGCTCTTCCCACATACAGTCCAATGTGTGTTTTTTCAAAGATTGCTATAATAAATAGTTTGGGTATTTGGCCCATTTAAAAAAAATGGGTTTAACCCATCTATATTAATTTTATTTATTAGAGTTATCTTTTCAGGAAATTGAGATATAAATATCTTATAGCCAAAAGGTATATTTCTTATATAAAGAAAACACAGTACAGCAATCATTCTGCTTATGTTTAAAATTAAAGATATTTTATATTTATATTAAGAATCGAATTTACTGAGACCGTAGTCAATTGGTCAGAGCAACAATATTGCAAAAACCTAATGACAGCTGCATTCGCGAACAATCTAAATAACAAATTTAGTATTGTTAAGACATGCGTTTGTGTTGAAATTAATAATTGCTCGCATTACCAACCAAGTAGGTAGCTTAGTAAACATAATCGTGCCAGCGACATAAAAAACATTATTCTATGTCTGCTTTGCTACAGATAATAAACGCTTTTCTTAGTTGGGTAAACTACAGTTCATTTTTGAGAATCTCTTGAAACTGTCTATCTGTCTGTCTTTCTTACAACTAACCGCAAATTGACTGATAGCGACATTATTTTTAATTTTGAACATCTATAGGTACTAATATATAAACTGAACAGTTTGTTTGTTTGAACGCGCTTATCTCAGGAACTACTAATTGGAATTGATTTTTGTTTTGGCTTAAGCATTTTTCGAGCAAGGTTATAAAACATCGCGCTGTGATCAATAAGCGGGAAAAGTGGAAGAAACGGTTAAAGATAACCAAAAAATATATGTTTGAAAGAAGAATTCCTCATTAAATGATCTACGAAATGTCCGCGGCAGTATGTCTTTCTTTCTAAATTCACTTGCAAGAACGACGGGACCCTACCATTGTGAGTAATAGCTTAAATTAAAGATGAAAATAAGGTTGCGAAAACAAATATGGATGCCCAAAATAGCTATTCTAAGCGTATGAAGTCGCTGACACAGCTTGTGGATTATTAAATTCTAAAAGTAATGCTCTGGTTACCGTTTCTCGTTTTTGTAATCAGTTATTAATAGCACCAACGGTAATTAGACCGCAATAATATATTTACTTTCTCAATTGATCGGTTAAACATTAGTGGGTCACAATATTACAACAAACCGAACAAAATAGCTACGAATGATTAGCGACGCCCCAGATAGCGTCTTCCTCATTGTCTGAGATTGGCGATGCACAGAATGGTAAGAACAGTAGGACTGTTACTTTCTACTGTTAACCAGTTTGCTAATTAAATAACGTAAGGGATGTAAGAGATAATTTTGCAGGTGACGTGGCTGTTACATTGCGTGTGAGGAAGTTTTCACCACTATCTATAGTTTACGCGAGTGTTTTATTTAAATGTGTCCTACATTTAAATAAAATGCTTTAACGGTTTAAAACGCGATATGTATTAGTTAAACTCATTTGAAAATTATTGTATCTGCGGCCTGATGTTTCAAGTAATTTTAACTAATATATATCGTGTTCCAAAACGTGAAAGCGTTTTATTGAAAAGTTACCACTTCACATACCAACACAAAGTTAACACGAAAATTTCCGAACTTCCCTTGAAGATGAAGAGCAATGCAAGCGAATAAACCTTATAAGCTAGTAACTAAACACTTGTTTATGTCTTTCCGGAGGCACCGTTGTGCGTTCATTAGGTTTCTTCTTGAATCATGTACTGTTTTGTAAAATACATAAAATTGTTGTGAAATAAATATTAAAATGAAGCACTGTTAACATTGAATGACCTGGCATAACTGGTAGACGGAGAATAGTTGGATCAACGCCAAGTTCCATACAACTCGAAATAATACCGATAACTTTTTCAAGTGCGTAATTAACAACAACGAGAGTGAAACAGTAAAAATTATAACTGCTCTCATTTCGTATCTAGCGTGAGAATATAATTAAAACCAAATATTTCTTAGTATTTCATTTCTATCCGTCTAATTATTAACTTAACAAATTTAACTGTCAGAAATCACTATTTTTTAAAAGGATATGTTGTTTTTGTATAGTTTGATTATAAATATGGTTAACAGTTAATTTTATTAATCACTGTAAGTGTCAAAAATGTTTAAGATTTAGCTTAATGTACCAGATTTGTTTTTTTTAACTTTTATGAAAAATGACTTCTACTATGTATGGAATTGATGATTAATGGAAGATAAAATAATGATTTCGAATGAATATTCGTTTTATAGTAGCTGTTTATAAAAAAAATCTGATAGAGGGTGACAAATTATTATACGTACATCATTCCTCTCAAGCACCAAAGACCGCAGACGAGCGTACATAGCTTCTTCTCTTATACGAGTAGCGTCTCTTATCTCACGCACCAATTCTGTCAAGTAGCCTGGAGAATACTGCCCACCTGGAAACGTAGGTAGAGACCATATTACGTGCCTTTTTATTTATCAACACGATTTTCATTTAGAGCTTTGATAAAGATAACAAAAGAATGCTACTAGAGTCTGAAAGTTTGAGATAACGGTCTTTTAAAAAACTACACAATACGATCGTTTTTTTTTAATTAAATGTCCCCATTGCCTAGCGCCATTGCGTGAAGCGCGAGAGATCCAGGGTTTGAATCACAGAGAAACGATAGATCGTTTTGGTTGGGGAGGGCACAGAAGTCTGATTAACTACTTGCCCGTAAAGAACTGACAACGAAATTATTAAACGAAAAAATCATACGATAATGAAAAACATGTTGCACTAAAAAGTATTCTCATGTAAATCAAATAAAAAATATCCTTCTTTTATTTAAATAAATCACCCTTTTACGGTTTAAATGGCATCCGAAACATGAGGCCGTAGTTTAAATAATTTGTAAAGTGACTAAACTTTGTAAAGTTAACTAATACATTTCGCGTTTTAAACCGTTGACAGTTTTATTGACATTCGTACTACGCGCGCAAACTACAGACAGTATTTAATGATTTTTTTATATTTTTGCTGTATATAGTAGTGAAACCAGGAAACAAATAAGTTTTGAAGCCTCATTATCGTTAAAGTGAAAACGGATAGGCAATTTTCCTGCATAGTTGTGTTACTAACCAGTTTTAGTATAGGTGGAGCTTGCAGAAAGTTGTATGTAATCTTTATATATATAAATCTCCTGTCGGCTGTCACGATGTTTGTCCGCTATGGACTCCTAAACCGATTTTAAATTAAATTGGCACACCGTGAGCAGTCTGGTCCTACTTGAGACATAGGATTGTTTAGATCTTTAATTATACTCGCAATTTTATTTTATTGCAAATTATTTGTCTATAAATAATTGACAGTTACAATGGATTGAGTAAGCAATCGATAGATGGCACTGCTATGGTGAACCGACAAACGTGTCATATAAGCTATAAAAATAAATATTTATATGGCAAAACAACGTTTGCCGGATCAGCTAGAACCATTATACTTCTTTCCCCGGAAAAAGGAATTCAAGTCTAGTGCTTTTGTTTCCGTCTATAACGATTAAATTAAACTAACCGAAACATGTCATGCCACTATTAGATTACTGTGATAAGCAATAGTTATCCTAAACGAATACAATAAATAATAAATTAACTTTTATATAGATATAGCCCGAGGATTTTCAATAAAATAGTTTCATATATGTAACGAATTTAGTGGTTCCGTACTCAAATGGTAAAAAGGGATCTCTATGCGAAAACTTCGCTGTCTGTATGACCCCAGGGGCTGTCCAAGAACAGCTAGATAGTTTAAATTTTAAGATATACATGTACATATGTAGTCGCTATAATACCCAAATGTAGTAAGTATTTAAGGTTTATTTATAAAAGAAAATCTGATTTTAGATCACGACACGTATGGTACACGGTAGCTGAATGGATAGAGGCGGAGCACGGGACGCTGTGGATTCTGGTTATGTTCTATTATGTCCCGTCCATGTTGTAAAAATGTTATCTATATTTATATCGATTTTCGTTTATATTTGAGGATACAAAAACACCATTTTATCAAATATTTGTTGGTATCAATAGTGCCTGACTTGACTAGTAAACATAAGCAGTAGCGTAGCTAGGTTGACAAGGTCCCCGGTCTACCTAATCCTAGGGCCTAAGAAAGAATCGGGCCCTTATCCCCACTTTCAGCCTAGCTTGAATTAAATGAACCTCCAAATTATAAATAGCAACAAGACCAGTTTAATTTAAAAATCTTCGTCAGCGTTCCTTGCTGTTGCTCTACCAAGTCGAATAGCACGGAACGCTGACGACGCCGGTTCAAGTCCTGCCCGAGTCGAAATTTTTTTCAAGTTACTATCGATTTTTAAATTATATAGTGCCTTCATGTCACAAATAATAAAGTTTTTAAAACGACTTAGTTCGTTTTATTTATTGTAGGTTAGCTATGCCAGCCAGGCATTTGTGAAAAATATTTAATTTAAGTTTATTTTTGATGAATTTATATAGAAGTGACAGTCTTCACACAATTAAAGTTAATACATAATGAAGAAATTAACACGCTTTAATAAGTATTTTAATTACAGCATAGAAATTCGCGAATTCGCACGCAACTGCGCCTGAGATTGTTATGAATGACTAATTAGGCGATTAATGAGAGCGAAGACGTAACAACTGATTTAGGTGTTAACGGTAATACCGGCTTTGCAATGAATTGCAATTTTAGGAGTGGCTAGACTGTCCGTTATTGCAGTATCTATCTACAAATTATACCAATTTCTTACATCGGTGTATAGCAAACTTCGAAAAAAAATTAATACATAAAGACCGTAGGATCAGACTGTGCCACACAAACTAAAAGCAAAAGTCTGGGGAAATGGGTGAATTAGACAGAGGCTATTGTGGATTGATTGTCTTCTAGCAGATAAATATAGACAAGATGATAAAATTAATAATGTAACAATTTGTATAACTTCAACTCAATTCAATACTGTTTTGATTGTGAAAAACGACGTAATCAAATCGATCACTAATGTGACTTGTGTGACTGTGTTTATCAAAGATCATATAAATTAAACATAGAACTTAATAGCTTAGACGAGAGGACACTACTTTTATAGTTGTTTTAGTGGTGTAGCTATCGTAGGGCCCGGTGGTGCAGTGCACCAGGGCCCTGGACCTCGAGGGCCCCTTTGCCTTTAACCTAAGCTTTGAAAAAAGCGAGTCAGCCAACTCGCCAGGCCCTGAAGATACAAGAGAGGGTGAGGTTCCGATTATTTCTCTATGCACCGGGGTCCTTGCCCATTTAGCTACGCCACTGGTTGTTTTAAGTACATTTCGATTTAAATAGCTAATATAACTGAAGACTAGAAAGTCATGGAAAACATTTAGTAATGATACAATAATGTTACAATAGTTAAAGTATTTCGAATCAGCCAAGAAACTAACTCACTATTAGAATATTGTTATCAATCCGATGGGTTATCAGACTGGGTCGTATGGAACACGCGAACTAACTTAGTGCCTAGATCTACCAGTCACAAGACTATATTTTTAGGGGACACATCACGAGCCATATTATACTTAATGTTTGAAATCCTTGCAATAATAAGCTTAAATGGAATCCAGCTTTCCCCAGTGGGACATAGAGTATGGCAACGGGCAAGTAAACGATCAGAAGCCACATACTATTTTTCCCATGATTCCAACCCAGGACCTCTCTCGTTTTACGTAATGCTAGGCAACACATTTCACCATTTAGCAACAGAGGCGCTCATATGTTAGGTTTTATTACACATTCGTGAGAACGAACATACCTCGTTGTATATTACGAGGGCAGATAGCAAGGAGGGTTCCCTTGATACTACTACACTACTAATAACTACTACTATGTTAGCCAGTAGTTAAGCAACCTTTTCTAATAATTGTTTTAGTTGCAATTTACAATCATTAGAATAAAAGAGAAAAGATAATTTAAACTCCATAGAGTGCAATGGTCAATCTTATCACAATTAAGAACTCTCTTGTACATATAATTAGCTTTATTCTTTGTTTTCCAGAGGAAAGACAATTTATTCTTCATAGAAGAACTCTATCATCTTGTACAATAGTCATATAAAAAAAGCAGGTGCAAGCAGTACTAATGCAGGAGGGCAGCAATTCAGTTTGATGGAAAATGTTAAATATTTCATAATTACCTCCAGCACCAATATTTGCTGCACCTTTAGGATAAAATGGATCCTGGTGTTGAAGTCTCTCCAATTCAACTGAAATTAAAATCTCATTTACTCATATATGAAAATCAATCTTTACACATAAGTAACTTAAAAATCGAAAAATAAATTGAAATTCGTTTGTTCCGTAGGACTCGGCAGCTCAATTGGTAGAGCAACATCATGGAACGCTGAAGATGCCGGTTCAAGGCCTGCCCGAGTCGAACATTTTTTTCAATTTATTTTCGATTTTTCAATTATATAGTGCCTTCGTGTAAAAAATATTAAAGTTTTCAAATCTTTACACATATCAAAAAGCAAGTAAATTTCTTTTTAATTAATTAATATTACTAATCCTCAAAAACCATTAGTTTTTCTATCAGACAGGTGAATTAAGCCTATATCTCAAATACTACACATATTTCAAGTAATTTGCAACTTATAAAATTAAATTATCGACAGTAGCAGGTGAAATATCATTATTGTTGGCAGGTGAACTATAATTAAGGGAGTAGAGCAGGTTTTTTTCAATATTAGTTTTCTTCTTGCACGAAAAGACATTACAAGGACATTTTTGAAACAATGTTAAACCGAGTAACATGATTCAAATTGAATTGAATTCAAGAAATATTGTGTAGGTGATTGCTTATAAGGAATATCAAATAACCATAATAATATATGACCTCATTTTGTGGGCGGCAAGGTTATATTTACAATTACAGACATTTGATAAATATGTAATTTTTTTAGAGGTCTTCGATCGCAAATATATTAAGTAGTTTATTTAATTAATATATTGATGGAATTTCTATCACCTAATATCCAGAAGGTGTGCACAAAACTGTACGTAATAAAAAAAGTATTGAAAATTTAAAATTATATATGCTGTATGATATAACATTAGTTAATATTTTTCAACCAATCTTATCAGTGAATAATTATAATAACCTTTTACAGCTGTTTTCTTTGATTAACACTGAATATGTAACGTTCATATTTTGTACAAAAAAATAAATCTAATTATAAATTGAGGGAATATTATGTTATCTAGGCTAAGTAAGAGTAAGCCAATTACTAAGTTCTTCATCATTTCACTGCAAAATTCTTGAGAGTATTTACTTGCATGAGATTCAGTAGTAATTACTGGTGAGAGACAAATTTCAAACAAGATTTAAATTATAAGATTCATGCAGAATAATAGATATCTTATAGTTTAGACAAAACATATTTTAGTAGTTAAAAAATAATTCTGTGTCTATGAATCTCAACTTACCCCTCGTGTCCAATAACTCCTTATTCAGTCTTTCATTAACAACCTTCAATGATGATATCTGGTCTAACAAGTACGATAGCAATCTGCTACCAACTTGACTTCCCGAAAGATCAGAACTCGACTCATACTCTGAATCAACTTCCCCATTTGTGGGTCTATGGTCGGCCACATCAGGCAAACCTCTCATACAAGGATCACTGTATCTTCTAGCATTACTTCCATCGTCTTTATCATTAAGTTGATCACTGTTGGAGTTTGTGTCACCAGTAGATGTGACAATAGGAGGCAAACTGGCAAAGTCCTGACTATCTGAGAAATTCTTTGGTTGCATGTAATTCTGGTTGGCTACATCAGCGGGAGTACTGGATAGTTCTTCGGCTTTATTCTTACGCCGGCGTAGTCTGGGACGCTGGACTTGAATGCTTTTATTATCATGCATTCTATACTCGGGGCAGTGGTGCATAATAGGGCTATAGTAGGTCGGAAAGGATGGCAACGATGTCGGTTCATTGGAACCAAACATATATCTATTAGGTTCGTAGCAAGGAGAAAACTGTGAACAAATAGGCACGCTCAAGTTTGGACGCAAATCGTATCCATCAACAGGATTAGTTTCAGGAATATGGTGCTTGTCCAGCCATTTTGATAAATAGGAAGATTTCCCTTTAGATTTTTTCCGCTTTCCCAAAGGACCGTTGCTCGGCGATGCATTGCCGTTCACTTGTTTTGGAGTAGAAGCCATTGAAGCGAAGAACTGGTAGAGCACGGCAAAATCAAACCCTCTAGTACGACGTTCACGTATTTTTACTCCATTTTATCGACATATATTTGGATATAAGCAGCTGATCTTATCGTATACTTTGAATTAATTAATTTCGTTTTATCGTTAAATCGGTCGTACTTCACGTTATTTTGCTATCAGTTCAAATTGAAAACTGACATTTGACACCCAAACGTTTTCAATTGACAGTGACAGTTTTTTTTTCTTTTTTTTAAATTGATCAACATAATTGGTAACTAGCCTATTGGTCGATACTGTCAGTTTAAAACAATGTTGCCATACTTGAGTAGAATGTATTAATCGGAATAAGGTTTTCTTTTTGAACAAATTTCAGTGAATTAATAATGTAATTTTTCCTTATAAATAGCTTTTTATATAATTTAGAATAAGGATAATTTGTTTATATACATAGCTAGCAAACAACATTGTTTTGCGACAGTGAATTATATATTTGACCGAGAGATGGCGCTTTAATACATTATCAGCTTGTTTGAATCAATTGGTTATTAATGAATGAAGATAATCAAACTTTATGACAGAACTATAGTAGCGCGTCGATTATCAAGAACACTAATAAATTGAAAAGTAGGTACATTTTATAAATTATTCATTATGTGTCAGCATCTTATAAGTAGCCTTGCTGCTGTTTTAATTCATGCAATTCTTGGTTACTATTATTATTCCGTAACCATAACTTATAATAATAACATCCGTTAACTTAACACACGCCTCAATAAAACAACATTAATAAGATGACAGAAATTTAATCTCAAAATATATAAAATTATCTGATTTTATGTATTTACATTCATATAATGTATAGCATAGATTTATTTTTATCAATAATATTTCATACATATAGTACCTAAAGTATGCAATTACGGCCGTAAGAAATACCATGGCACAGGTTAAGATGGACTAATTAGTGGGAAATAAATATGTATAAGTGATTTAACTGTGGCATAATCAATAAAAATATTCTTAACACTAAATAATTACGTAATGACAAACGAGATTTGAAATATTGCATTTTGAAATCGATTATTTCCTATTGTACTTATATAAGCGTCGAAAGATTACGAAAAAAATGTGACATTATTTAATTCATTAGAAAAAAAAATAAACAGGGGAGTTAAATGGATATGAGAACGACTTACAATATTCGAGTGTAGCAATAGGTACTTCTGTACACAAGACCCCTAGTGTTAAAAATACTTACTAACCAAACTAAACTATGAACATTGTCAAGTTATAGGGCAAATACTTCTATGAGGTCAATAGTGTGGCAAAGCGGTAGTCCACAGATAAAATTAAGTCGATTTTGACAGTTCCACAGGCTGTTGAAACGAAATCAAAAACGACCTTAACAATTCTATTTAGACCTTATTTTGGTTTACTTATTGCTATTGAGTATAACATTTGATCATACTTTAAACTTCTAGATATAAAATAAACTATGGGAAACAAGGATTTATTAGAATTGAAATTTTAACTAAATTATGTTACTTATGTGAAAATAATTAACTATTTTATTATTGTGGTTATCAAAATCGCTTAGACCAACACTCTCCCATTTAAATCTAATACACAACTTATCCCCACAAGACGACAGTGAAGGTATTTCTAAAAAATTGACAACCAGAATTAAAAATACATTCCCACTATTTTATATGTGTAAATATATGTTATTTAACATAGAAAACAATATTAAATGTAACGTAACATTAAATAATTATTCCCTCCACTACAGTCTCGTCGGAACAAATTGTGAGACAATAACATTCATTACATAACATATTATGTACTTAGCTTACAACTATAACTAAACCGTGTCACATTTTATAACCAAAAAGGCTTCAACGATCGGATACATTAAAATTGTAAAAACCTTTAAGAATGTTTAATATAAGCTCCATTTGTAGAGTTTCAATCAGAGTGGAGTCCCTTTTGGTACATTGGAAGCATTCAAAAACCCTGCATTTGTCGAGTGATTTCCATCAAATCTAGCACCATATATTGGAATGCTCGCGTAAGAAATGCATCAGGGTACCGAATCTGCTATTACCAGTGACATGGGCGTTGTGAATAGCAGAATTGGAAACCTTCAATGTTCCGTCGCACAGCCTTCCACTAAACGGAACGGAGAAACCACTCGATACCAGCCGCCTAAACTAACTTGACGTCATCGAAAGCGGTCAGAAGTTCACTCGTGCCCTGAATGACGTCCGCCTCTGGCCAAAAGTCAGTTGACGCGAGCGTCAGTTTCGAGTCCAGCAGATCGTTGCATTGCATCGGGAATCCGGGGCTCGGCTGCATCTTAACGGAGAGGTACGGGTCGTAGCCTTGCAGTATCCCGGTCGGTGACACCAGTCGGTTGCCCGGGCTGTACATTTGGTAATTGCTGGCTGGCGATAAGGACTGGGGCGTGGAGAATGAGCTCAGCGAGTTATCTTTTTGCACGGGACTGATGGCGGGGCTATAATTGGGACTTGACGGTAGAGAGTAGATTTGATTGACATTTAGACTGAGCGGCGACATTGGATCGCACGGGGTGTTGGCACGCATCTGTTTATTTGGGGCCTGTATTATGTTTATCACGGGAATGGGGATATTTCTTAACGGGCTCTGGGGTAATTGGGGATTAAGAATGAGACGGTAGTTCGGTAGCTTGTGTTGAGTCGCCTGCGCCTGTTGTATTTCCTGTAAAATTAAGTCTCGTGTTAGTCGAGCGTTGTGGTTTTTCAAAACAGGTAAAGTGGAAAATATGACGTAAAACGGTGCACATTTAGACGTTTTGAGGATGGAGTATTAGCTTTTGTGTATGACGTCAATGTAGTTTGCTTCGAAAACATCTGAATACCCTATTAGTTTCCTCAGGACACTGTCTTATAGGTTCAAGAACCCGAAATGTATATCTATCCATTATCTTTTATTGCGGGTCTTGTACCAATTCGAGTGTCAGCCGACGTCCTATCTATCGCGATACAAATTGGACCCTCCCCTTCATAAATCTACATCCTTATCACGACGCTTTTTCTTTCTATCACGTGATTTGAGTTTAATATACTAAGCGAAGATTCTGTTTTTCTATGGTATTTACCTACTACGAACTAACTTTTTTATGCTCGTCAAAAAAACCGCGATGGTTTCCTCTGAGGTACTTAAGCAAAAAAGTATTTCATTGCCAAACCTAATATTTTATTAGCATCTATCATTATTATTACTTAATACGCGTTTGCGTTAGTTTTATAAAACACTCAGAAAGATATATCGTAAATATAGGTATTTAGCCTTATTTTCCTGTCTGACATAATAATAATGTATTTTGTTCTCAGTGTATTGATTAAATGTATTGTATTTTTAGTTTTCATTGTAGTTTTTTACAACAGTAATCTTATGTAAATATTACAATAAAATTGTTCTTGTCTTCCTCCGTTTGAATCTTTATTGTATAAGATTTCCTTTTAATTAAATAAAAAGTCCTTTGCTTCTAACCATCAAGGAAAATACCTCTTCAATTAATTGTTCCTTGATATACATTTGTTCGTATATTTGCTCAACCTAATACTGATTTCTCATCTCAAAGCTATCTCAAGTTAATGTCTGTAGCTCAATTTACTCGGTTCAGTTGAGCTGATCTAATATCTGTTCTACTCGTATTAGGGTGGGTGGTTTCAACTTGTGTTACGAACGTAAAATAATAACGTTGTTAAGCTATATGGCAAACCGTGCGTTTAGGCGTTAATCAGACATCTAGGCTATCCTATTCAATTTGACGTTTTCAATGGCTTAGTTGGAAAATAAACGGCGTCATATTTTAACATTCACTTACGATTTAAAAATCGAAAATAAATTGAAAAACTTTTCGACTCGTGCAGGACTTGAACCGGTATCGTCAGCAGCACAGTACTGTTACGTCACGGAATGCTGACGATGCCGGTTCAAGTCCTGCACGAGTCGAAAAGTTCTTCAATTTTTAAATTATATAGTGCCTTCATGTGCAAAATAACAAAGCATTCACTTACGAGTTAAATCTAGTAATTGAAACTCAGCCCTGATTATGCGTTATCCTCCGTACCTATTTCAGTTATTGTCTGAATAATTCATGCAATAAATCTGGCTAAAACAGTTCAGAGAAATCTAATATAATAAAATATGTTTATTTCCAAAAATACTTTTTCTAATAGCGCTTTTACATCCGTACTAATATAATTTAAGTAATGGACTTAGAACGGTCCTATTAATGGATGTAATGTACATGTATGTAAATAAAATAACTATGTATATAATTTATGGTTTACACAATCTATATAAATAATTAAGGATTTAGCTAATTCTATTTTTTTTTAATTTTTAAAACTTAACGTCAAAATTGAGATTAAGGAACCCTAAAACGAGGAAGACTAACGATTAAATATTTAATTTAATAATTTTACTGTGTAATTCGTTTTTTAACGTTATTTACTATGTCATAATTTCACAAGTGTCCATGGAATGCCTTTATTTATAGGTAGTACAGTACTTATTCCACTAGTTTTATCAAATTACACGTGAAATAGCTTTGTGTATAAATTTGTGTACACGGAACTTGGATTGTATTACTTGTGCAAATACGTAGTTAAAGCAATCTCGTCATCAATTACTTTGTTAAACGCCGCGTTAAAATTCTAGTTTATTGTAATTAAATACATTTACTTTGATGTTACTTGGAGTATTTTTGTATTATTAATGAAATGTGATAAGAGAGATAGTTCAGAGAATAAATTCAATAATTGAACAAGTAACAGTAATAACTATTATCAGACTGGTATATATTTACACGCATTTAAAAGTAGCGAATCTATTTTTAGGCTACTTAATTATATTTCCTTATTAGTTAACACTAGGCTTGGCATGAATTCAAAACAATCATTGCCATAGATAATATTAAGTAGGAGATCGCATTGGAAGCATCTAGCGTTAACATCTCAACTATTTTATCACTTCAGATGAGTTGAGCCATTAATTAACAACAATGTTACGAGAAAATATCTAGAATTCTCGTTGATACACTAAGCTAATACTCACATGGGAAATATGGGAATGGGGTAGGTTAAATAAAATGTGCACCGTTTTACTATAATCTGATAGTTTTCAGTATCAGACATTTAGATTTATTATGTACCAAATGTCGTTCGGGGAAAAATAACATTTCTCTTAGACTATAAAAGTGTAACAATGATAAATTTGAAATCTACGTTTGGTTAAACCGTTTTAATGCAGACCGATGGTAAAACTGCTAAACATGAATCTATATACAAAAATACAGCTGCGTCAACAAAAAGAGCCTTAATGGCTAAATAACTTGTTCTATATCTAATTCATTGGGTCCGTAAGCTTTGTTTTGTTCTAAATTGTACTTTATATCATTTGGCAGTGACAACAGTATGTGACTAACGAATATTGTTCGAATCGCCTAACGTTAACTATAATAAACTCCGAATAGACGACGTCCGGCGCGCTAACTAGTCCGATGCAAACGCACTCGATACAAAACAACCTAATCGTTCAATAAGCGTACTTACCGCGCTAAAATAAATAACAACGAACCTACAGCTAACTAACCGACACTAGAAACATAAGACTGGGCGTGCGGAAGACAGTCAACACAGGATTATAAACCTATAAACAGCTCAGTTTTCCTCATAACCACAAAGATATGCGCTCGTTTACTTAACTACGTTAGAATACTACACAAAGTTAGCATCAGATCGCTTACGCGCGAGGGTCGAGAGCCTGCGAAAAATTAACTTAGCTAAAAAGTCCCTTATCCCTGACGATTCCGTTCCGTTGCCTCTGAGCGATCGGCGGAACTACTCAGACTGTAACTCGTGAGTCTAAACCATATAATATCACAATATTTGACGGCACTGGGTTGAAAATTAATTCGTATTGTTCTTGAACGTTACTGATTCGTGGAGGCAACCCTTTCACTGGACGCACATTATCACAGTTATTTCATTCGAGACGTCGTCTCACGCTTTCGCCTTTTGGCGTGGTCGACACTGAACCGTGCAAATGTATCCAGCGTCGACGTCGCAGCCGCTCACCAGGAGGTTCATGAGGACACTCGATGAAGACTGCGTGGTGGGAACCGTCGGTGCGGGCGAAGGACTACGCTTTGCGCGTTTTGCTCTCGGCTCCTCCTCTTGTGTTAAAACCCTCTTTACTCCCGTGTCCCAAGACGATATACTCCTGCTTGGAATGAGGCCTGAAAACGTAATACAATTTATAATACAAGAAAAATGGTTTAAAACCTCAATTTTTTTTAGAAGATAGATCCGATACCTTGATCAGAATAAATATTCGTGATCAGATCCTGTGGTGGGGGTCCAGTGGGTGGTGCGGCTAATAAACGTTGCAGTGCAGGCGCTGACGTCTGTGTTTCTGACGGTTGGGGTCTCGCTTGTCGGACACTGTCCGGTAGAGCACCCCACATGACGGCCGGCTCGAGTACGGGCAAGTCATCAGTGGTGGGAATAAATGGGGAGTTTCCATCGTCAATATCATTGTCAGACCTTGCGCTGTCATACGCATCTAGTGACAATTCCGTTAACAATGACGACTGTTCGCCGGTTGATTCATTTTCCTAAAAAAATAAAATAAACAGTATTAAGACGAATTCAACAGTTCCTGTAATCGTACAATGCAATACAAAAAGTACAAAGTACCTGACGCTCAGGGGACGAGAGCAAAGAATCCGCTATAAGAGAATCGACGGGAGAGCCACTAGTTAGATCATCCCCGAGAAGACTGGTGTAGTTGTCATTAAGTATGAACTCGTCAAACATATCAAAAGGACTGTTCTCCAGGGGAATACAAGCGTCGCCAGCCGTAGGGGCCAAATGTGTCAGATCCTCAGGCTCGTCTTTAAGCACTGAAAAAGGCAAAAGTCCGTGAATTGGATCGTAGGCACATCCTGCGTATTTCAATGAAGCAAGCAAGGGTACCTAAGCTGTTGCGTTTCGAGTTCCACTCACTTGTATGTCCCTCGATCTGGGAGAACGTGAGATAGCCCTTGTTCATCTCTTCCTCTCTCGGCGCGAATATGAGTTCTGTGACAGGTATAGGGCGCTCCTCCTTGGGAATTATTGCGGCCACAATGGCACCGTTAGCCGGTGCGGAAGCAATTCTAGCTGGAGTCGGAGCCTCAACGGGTTTCAGGTCCGTATGCTGCACTTGGTGTGCAGCGAATACTTCATCTTTGCACTCGATACCGCTGAGAAAGAAGCAAATAACCTACAGATAACGTAAACATTAGTGGCAATATGGTTTATGGTCTACGTGTGGCTATTTATCAACAAATGCAGTAACTAGTAATGTTAGGAGCTGGACATTAAAACTGACTAGATACACGCTCCTTCTATTGCAATTAAAACGAACGTTATGTCAAAGTAGCACAATAATGTATACAGGCGAGTAATCAGTCAACAATAGTCAAGGACAGCGATTAAACAAGCTGATAGTGGACTCATACACTTACGATGTAAAAACTCAAGCATCAAGATATTTATAACGTAACGTTCACAATACCAGTATGTATATAGAACTTAAAGACATACCCCGTTTGACAGATACTATTGTTCCTATGATGGTATAATTTACAGCATTTTTAAAATAAAGTTTCAATATTATTAGCTATTGTCCAACTGAGATCACACGACCGGCATGACTGGTGTCGAGGAATAGAATACTTTAGATTTGTTGTAATATTTATCAGTAACGTTATTGTGGGACCAATTAACTAATGTCAAGTGCGATGATAACCCAAGCTATCCTAAGACATGCTTATAGTGTTACGATTAGTTATAGATTTACGTCAAAGATTTTTGCAAACAATTTATCTAGCGATATGTGGACAATAATAAGTTGTTGACGTTGTGGTTCAAGTTGTCATTAACCTTATAAATTAATGTGATTTCCGCTAGTTACATAGTACTAATTGTTATAATGTTAGCTGTAATGAACTTCCAATTGTTACATTTAGTTCCTAGATGGAACACACGTCTCGTACCATAATAAACATTGTAAAAATCGTCGGCTCGTAATATCCGAATATAAACGATATTGTAAAGGGTGTGTTTTGCGTAATTGCATTTACGCGCTTTTCGAAAGTGAATCCGTTAGAAGAAGATAGGCGGATGGAAGTTCCGAGAGTTTGAACGAGATGTCATGATCATAGTAAGTACGGCCTTGCTTACGACCTTGCCTCCCCCCACTCGTGATAGACTTCCCAAGTTTCCTTCGGGCGGCCATTCACCAGAATTTTAGTGAAACCGAATGCGCGCGCAGAAACAACACGAGGTATCGATTGTCGACCGGCGATTTTAGAACAAAATACATTTTAAGCAGAGAACGAAGAAATTACTGTAAAAACGTCTATTGTTACATTTCTAGATCACGGCTTAAGATATAAACGATACCTATATGTATTTTTTTGTATTCTAACATATACAATCAAAACGTCTTGGAGGCAGGTGCTATATATATTTAGATTAAGGGCATTTCTATAGAACTTCCGACTTGACCTCAGCTTAACAGTCGAGAGCAGATGTTTCCGCGACCTTGGCCGTGATAGCGATGAGCGGGTAACGAAATTCAACATTAATAATTACGTCTTCACGGTCGAGGGCACAGCCTTGAAACGTTTTGCTTGCTAGATTCAGAAAGTGAAAACCTAAGGCTATATACGTAAGAATTATTGTTATAATCCGGCAAGAAAATACGTAATCACTGTACACAATCATTTAATAAAAATAAATAAATAATTTACCTTGACGGGTAGCAGCTTATTTTGCTTTTTAAACCGTTAAAAGTGTTTGATTCTATATGTACACTTTTGCTAATACTATATACAATTAGTTATGTTTATTTTGATGTGTCAATACGCGTTGTACTGAGAAATAGTGGTGCTATAGGCAGACTAGACAGAATCTTATCGTGATAAATATTTACGTTGAAATTTTTAGACATAGATAAGATAGCACAAGGAAGGACGTAATATCGAAAGTGTATTGACGGTGATGAACACGATAGATGCAAGATGGAAGCGAACATAGTGGAAAAGTTTTATCACGAAAGCGGCAACCGAACTGACGTTACGTATTATTGTAGACTACAAAGTTGCATTCAAGTTGAAATCGAAACGACGGAGCTGTGAATACGTTAAGCATCGGCTCGCGAATGGCGACGAGACCTGCGCGGGAGTCAAGGCCGAGCTGGTGGCGCGCTTATGTAACCGGTGAGGACAGCGGGGGACGCTACCGCTAATTTTAGCAGATCACACGAAACGCAAGAAGCATCGAACGCAACGCTCGGCATCCAGCACCGAGATGCGACGCGATAATTTATTACCGCGAGAGGTATCGCAGAAAAACAACATTACGCGAACGATAAATAACAATCGCCGAGTGCAGCCCGATTCTAAAATAACACTACGCGAGCTATATGCTAATGTACTATTGTTTTATACTGCACTTGGAAACTTGATATTCGTTTGCGCATTTAACTTAACACTGTAGGAATTAACATTACGATCACACTTATCACTGTCACGTTAGCACTTTCTTACCATTTTTTTTAGTAACTGAATAGACGTTGTATTGGAGAATGGGTTATACGTTTAACAGCTGATCGGCGGCACGTAATGTGAAGAGTTCGCCGGCAAGTTGGGAGGGAGGCGCGCAGGATGTACGCGTTGTACGAAGTCCGTGGCGCGAATGCTGGCCGAGTCGCGATTGGGGCGGACGGCGGCGCACTTGTGACGCGGTGAATCTAAACACACACTGCACAGTGGGACGAGGTAGCGCGGTGATAAATATTCGAGGGTTACCGCTTCGTTCATTCGCGGGCCACGCGATGAGATAAGTCTTCGCTATTCTGTTAGGTTCTTTTCAGACTACGCTTGTTAAAATAGCAGAGGACTGTCAGAGCTGCTAAACATTGTGAGCTACGAACCGCAGTTAAATCCGTATTTAAAAGTTATGCAAAAGATGTTTAAAGAAGATTAAAAATTAATGAAAATAATATTAAAAGTGAAACACATTAAATGTTGTTTTTTAAATAATATATGACTACAGAACTATGATTATTTTTTAAATAGTCCCTTAGTTACACTTATTAAGAACCGCACATAATCGTTAAGACTCAAATAAACCTTGCAATATTTCCTACACTAATAGAATACAACAATATCACACTATACACATAGCAATAATATACATAACACAGTGAAATTAACACGTATATATTAAAATGCTAAATACTGTCTATAGTTTAGAGTAGTACACATTTAAATATAACACTTCAACGAGTGGAGACGGGTCTCCCCGTGGCCACGGCTGCTACAAAGCATCCGAAACGTCGGGCCGAAGTTAAAAATCATTTTCAAATAATATATCACGTTTTAAACCGTTTAAAGCGTTTTCTTTATATATTAAAATGTTTGCAGTATGCAGTGTTATAAGCTATACTATACTGTTAAATTATTGTACAGTCTGAAGAGAGCTTTATACAATGTCTATCACGGGCAGGTTGAATCGGCATCAGTTACCCGTCAAGTGATTATCACTATTATTATTATGGGCATAGATAATACGGATAAGCGAATAGATAGGTTAAATAATGGAATTACTAGCAAATGGCAACGGTGTGCTTAGCAACCGATATCAATGTTATTAATGTTTTCAATACAAGACCCGAACAAATTTAAACTAACCATGGCAACGCTACAGAAATTTGCGAGAAACCGGTTCTGACGTTTCACAAATACATTAAAAAACTGACTGCAAATTATTAAACAAATTAGGTAGGTATTACGTAAAGCATTTCGTCTTATTAGACGCGTTTAATTCATTCATGTAAACCGATTGTGTAAGACAAATACGTGTCTTCAGATTGGTGATCTAACACTTGATAATTGGTTAAATTAATTATTATTTCCACTACAATTAAAAGAAAAGTGGATTGTTGTCTGTCTTGATTTTTTTTCACCTTATTATTCATTCCTTCTATTCGTGTCTAAATCTTTGACTGCTTCCGATGTTCAATAGTTAAACGAGTTAACATTGCGGTAAGAACGATACGTCGCGGATTCGAATCCTGGGGAAAGACTTGTTTCAAGTCTGTTCAACTTGACTGTAAACGACATAATTATTAAATATGTGTTTGTCTCATGGCATTACTTAGGGCAAACGGGATTTCAAAATATCTATCTAATATGTTGTTTAGAAGTGTCGCCTTTTCGTTTAATGTTCTACGGCGCTCTTCACTTGTTCTTACTGCTAGAAGTATAAACAAACTGCTTCCTCCTAAGAACGAGGTATGTATCTATCTATGTATACGATATACCACTCAATCCATCACAAACGACACACGATACGATTGGTTGAAGCCAAGTCGCTCCACAATTTAGCCGCGTAACACAATCCTGTTCTTTAATGGACTCCGAGTGATTACAGACAATGATGAACAACTGAACGAGGTATTGTGATGATTTTACACGGCGATAAAGTACAAAAATACCGTGGTGACACCAATCATATTAAGTTTACACCAGACGTTAAAAACAACACGCGCCCAATTAAATTTTAATTTACACTTTCAAAATATATGACGAAATACTTTAGCAAAATTGGATGTTTTTGAATTTTTGCGGCATCCTTTTATTTTGATGAGTTAGCCTTCAAACCAAAGAAGGGAGGTTTTTAGAGGTACATAGACATATTATGGTACTATTTCATGTTGATTTAATTGAGACTACCACTGTAATATAAGATCTATCTACCTACCTATTACAACACAATATATTTCTGTCTAAAATTTACACACAATAAATAAGGATCTCAATGCACTATGTCTTAACAGCAGAACTCTGAACTGAATGTAGGACATTAGCAAGGATCATGCGCGATCAAAAGTTGCATAATAATGGGTGATATTGCATGGTGATGAAATTCAAGTGAAACATTATGAACCGCCTGCCGAAAGTCTCGTGTAGGAAATTCACAAGGATATGCTTGAGTCACCGTGGTAACAAAAAATAGAAATAAGCCATCGCGGTTTTATACCACAAAACGAGACACAGCATATAACTAAATGCGTAAACAAGCAGTGTTTTTAAAACAGATTTTTTCAATTTGTCTGCTGGTGCGAACGTCTAGGTGGAAATTTGGAAGCGAAATACCAGTGATTTTAGTATATTTATAAGACCCCAATTAG